TGGGTTGGATGTCGAAAGGCCTACAGTTTTCCGACCACATTATTGGACACATTATTCCATAGTAAATCATATTATGTGGCAAGTAATTAGCGCATTTTTGTCACCTTAATTTTGACGATTGCCTGATCACAATAGCGATATTTGGATTTTGGATATTTCCGTTTTTTCTGGGAAGTCAACCCGAGTTTATTGTTAAATACATTTCCAAGCGGAATTAAACAGTATTTCTGTGTGCTTTTTGATAATGTGTCGGACACCGTCACCATGTGGCTTCAGCAGGTTTAAAATCCAGGATTAGCCACTTCACACACATATATATGGGACAGCTTCTTTAACCACAGACGTAAGATAGAAAAATGAGTAAGACACAAGCCCCAGCATATTCCCTCTGGAGAGAGCGTGATAGTGTAATGTTAGTCTGTGAGAGACGAGAATAACTTAGCCTTTTCCCTGTGAAGCTCCTCACATAATCAAAATGTAATTACATGTCTGGTTTAGTGCTCTCTATTTTCACAGGAGCAGAGTCTGCTGGGAAACGGAAGAAAGAGAAAGAATTGTAAAACAATTAAAATCCTTCAGCTTCATCAAAGTCACTATGTGTCTACGTTCATTCATATACTGTATACGGTGTTTTCTGGGAAGCACGCGCTGATGGAACATACTGAAATATTGATGAAAAACGCGGTTATGGTTTTGTCAGTTTTTATTGAACTTATCAGGGGATTCTCACTACCTGATATGGCACACCTGAGGTGGAAAACGGGCTGAAAAAGTAAAGACTACAGGAGGAAACACTGGGCATGCTTGGTTTACTTTTTTACCAGCCAACAAATGTTTGGCAGGACAGAAAAAAAAAAAAAAAACTTGGGATATAAAAGCAAACAGTGAGGTTCTACAAAGAGCCTGATCTATTTCTATTTGTCTATTAAAACAAAAGGAGGAAGAGACAGGAGGATAGGAGTGAGGGGGGGAGGAACATGGATATGGAAGAAGAGCGTGGAGGTGGGAGAGACGAAGGCAGAAATAGAGAGGAATATGGAGGTTATGTAACTACAAGGCGTCTGTGTCAAACCATCGCTCCTTTGAAGACGCAGGAATGAGCATGCTGAACCCAACACGCATTTCTCCGCATATTTTGACACAATCTGGTTGTATGTGTTGCAACCCGCTTTCAACATGAGAGGGAACACGTTGTCTTTACCAGCCATAAACACATTTAGTCAAGATCTGCATTTAAGGATAAGCTTTGAGGTTCATAACATGCTACTTTAAATCCACTATATGTCATTATAAAGACATTAAAATATTGTTCCTTTCACTACAGTTACCAAGTGTTTAGCAGGTTAAGAAATAGTATGTGTCTTATATAAGATACACAGGTATATATCAACAGTTTATAAGGTATTTGAATTGAACTCTATATCGACTAACTCCAATAGTTCACCGAGTTTTCACGAGAAAAATACAAAACTTATTAAATGATTATAAGTCCTAATTTTCAGTGTTTTAATTTCATTGTGAAAACAAATCAACAATAATGTTGACAATCAAGTACATTTGAAAGTCATTTGTTAGGAGAATTTGCCCCAAAAATTCAAGGTTTTTAGCCTTGTTCACCTATGTTTGAAGCGTTCCTTTGTTATGAGGGCAAACATGTAATGTTTACGTTTTTGGACTGTTGATTGGTAACATTTAAAAGTCTTCATGTGTGCCCTGGGGGATCAAAATGAGCAGCTTTTTTATACATTTTGGGGAAAATCGAAAAAACTTTTGGTTGACCTCTAAACAAAAGTAGTTTAGAGAGTATGAAGAAGTACATTTCGCTGATATTGCTAAGTAACGACCTGAATACTTCTTCCACATCTGGTCTTTTGTTGCACCTGTGTGCGTTCACCTCCATAATCAAAGTCCCATTTAATACTCTTGCTCTCCTCCTCTTCCTCCTCCTCTGAGCATGTTGTCCCGTCACATCTCACAGATTCCACCCTGCAATCCTGTTAGCGCTTATCAGAGCATGGCGTGAGTCCAAGCACGGACTCGCACGTCTACCTTTTCCACCAATCAATACCACATTTACAGAGGCAGCTTTTCTCGCACTAACTGAGCTCAGCACTCAGGGGTAGCTGCTGTACTGTGGAAGTTTGGAGGGAACAACACACCTCTCACAACAACCTTTAAACTGGGCAATACAATTTCAGTGCCGACTGTCAAGAAGGAGCTTTGAAAAGTTTATTAACAGCTTGTATATAACACTTAACACTTAACACTTAACTTAACAACTGAGTTAATACAGAGGACAACACACAAAGATAGGTAAACTATACTCAGTTATCACTTAAAACCCCCAAATGTATGGGAAAAGAAGACATCTTGCAAAACATAGTTAAAGGATAACCAACCGAACCATTGTTAAGAGTCATAATCATAGCAATGCTAAATATGATTTGTGTTTATAAAAAAAGGCATAACCAAAACAGAACAAATTGTTATTATTATTATCCACCGCTCAATGATTTTATGTTTAGACATCTACCCCATCTGACATAGATTGTGAAGAAAATTATCTAAATTATAAGCATCGATTGTCCCAGTGGCTTTGGTTTCCCAAAGTAACAAGCAATAGCAACTATTACATCTGATGAAATAAAGGGAATATGTGTCAATTCACTGAAAGACCTGCAGACACTAAAGCTCTACATTCTTTTCAGCTGGGACTAAACGGATCAGTCGCCCAACCAGATAAATAGCAGTCCTCACAAATATCAGCAAATCTCCTTTTGTGGAGTGTCTTTGGTGAATAAACAGGATTGGAGGGGCTCGAGATAAAAGCAAAATGAAAATGTCTAATAATTCCTCAAAGGAGTTTATGTCTTTGTTTGTGTCATTTCAGCTTCGAGGTCTCTCCTTTTATGTCCAAAGATTGAGAGTAAACAGAGAGATTCAGCGAGTACACACTACACAGGAGGTACTTTAAATGAAATGCGAGAATGGGAAGGTAATTTATTTGGAGGGATAAAACGGGCAATGTGTCAACAGGAAGCAGTCCTTGTGTCTAATGCCACCAAACGCAGTGCAAATGTTTCCAGAGCAGGCAGTTCCTATGTCTCCTTCACTCAGTTCCATCTCACTGCAGTCAAATCGTTTCTGCAAACACCTCCTAACATTTGATGTATCCTCAATTCTGCTCCAGGTAGGAAACGTGTATAGGAATTCAAATTGGGATTCAGGTATTATCCCAGTAGTTAGGCACAGCGGTGATTTGAACTAAATACTAATGTCATTGTGCTAACAGGCTCACAATGCTAATGTGCTAAAGTTAGGAAGCTATAGGACCATCATCACTATCTTAGTTAGGCCAGTTAGCATGCCAACATTAGCTATTTAGCTCCAAAAACAAACTACAGCTTAGACTGACGGATACATCTTTGGAATTGGACACATTCAAATGTGCAACAAATGGTGCAAAACAGATGCAAAGGTTTTCAACAAGGTTATTACATTTATCTTGTTAAGAAAATGAATGTGTGTTCTGAACTTCTCGGCAATTCATCCAAAAGCTAGCTAAACATTTGAGTCAAAAGCACACATGTCAAAATGGTGGCACTAACACAAAACTCATAGGATAACCAAAGTATTAATGCCTGCAACAAAAAAGGGAAAACCATCCAATAGTTGTTCATGTAACACGAACAACTATGTTCTGTTGTGGCACTAGCATTGGTAGAGGCATACTAATAATAGCTAACTTTGGCTATCTTAAACACTGGCTAGCTTAAGAGCTTCGCTGATATTGCAGTCCGCTAGAAGCTCAAATCACAGTTTGTTATTTCTAAAGTATGTAAATAAATGACACGCTGGAGCATTACTCCTTCCTGTGTAACAAAAGGTAACTTTAGCTTTCTATTCTGAGGTGATAAGTGCCTTCAGTCTTCGATTTTCCACCAGCTAACATTGTGATGTAATCATGAAGTCAGCACTTAAAGGGTCTATTTTTAGATCCGAATGTTGTTGTATTTTAATCAACAGAAATATAATCTATTGGGGTTTTAGATAAACAGTTTGATGGCACAAACTTTAAGTATAGGAACTAAATCCAAATAAAAGGATTAATGATAATAAAAACAATGATTAGTTGGTAGCCCTACTCAGCAAACGGTCCTAACACACCGGGCAGGTTAAAGCCAATCTGAAGAGTCATTGGAAAACACTCAGGAGTGCGGGAGTGTTTGTCTGTCCCTCTGTCTGCTTGTGTGTATGTCTGGGTGCTAAATGTATTTTTAGAGTAACTCTATCCTTGTGGTTAAGTGTTTACCAGGAATATGCACACAAACACCCCCACCCTCCTGCAGAGAACATACACTGAAATACTCCCACGGACACACATTCATTTCTCATGTGTTATCGTTTCAAAATCAAGTCCTTCTACTCAGCTACCCACTACCTCCCTGTCAATAACTCAGGCGATTAATCTCCTTTGGTCCACGTATAAATAAAAGACAAATGGGGAAGTGGGAAATGAGGGTGAGCGAGATAGATCACACACTCGTATACACTCTCGTTTATAAACCCGCTGCATTGACATTCATCCTTCTCCTTTTCTTTTTGGTGTGTGTCTGTCGTGTGTGTGGGTGGGGAAAAGGACACTCCACATCATTCTCAGTGGAGAATAAAGAAGTCTTTGTAACTCCAGTCTCTCTGGACTTGGGCTTTAAACACACAAATCACGGGGCTTCCTTTCCCCGTCGACTGAAGTTCACACACATAAACCAACACTGTCACCGTGTAGCTTTAAAATTAAAAATCCTGCGCCAGCAAATGCTCCTTCAATGAACTCTCTTGCATGGAATGATCTCACTAGGCATCTTGACAAATCAACAGGCAAGGATTAAGTATTTAAAAATAAATGCTGTGAGGAAGTTGTGTAATTAAAATGTATGAACACGAGGAGCAAATTAAATCACAAAGACGGGAAAAATGGAAGATAAAGACGCAGTACTCACCATCTTCTTTGCATTCCTCAGGCGGCTTTGCCTTCTTGGCTAGCCTCGGGTCCAGCCACGATGTTGTCTTGGTGTTGTGGCTGTGAAGAGACGAGAGAGAGAGAGAGAGAGAGAGAGAGAGAGTGAGAGGGAGTGTGATAGATGGTGAGAGAGAGGAGACTTGGCAGAAAAAGAGAAGGAGGTTGGTGGATTCTTAATTCGGCTGGAGAATCATTTCAGAGAGGAAAGATGAAACTGCCTTGTGCGCCTGCCTTTAAAGAAAAAGGTGACGGGAAGGAAGAAAAAAAAGCTTTAGGTTAACAAAATGGCAATCGATACTTTTCATTTGCTTACTGTCTCTCATTAGCAGACACAGGAGGAAGGGAGGAGAAGAGACAGGAAAAGATAGAGGTGTGACTGAGGGAGTAATGGAAGGGAACAGCTGTGGGCTTGGCAGATTCATCCAGAGCCCTGGGCAGAAAAGCTGGATCTAGATCAGATATGATGTGCCAGGGAAACTCTGCTCATCTCCAAAGCCCGTCTGAAGCTCTGGAGCCACAATGGCCTCCCCTCTTCATGACAGTAAGGCAGGGGAGGTGTTCACAAAGTGCCTAGAGTAAAGGACTGAGGTGAGAAGATAACAGGAAGGAATGGGGTAAAGAGGCATCCTTGTGTCCTTGTTCTTTTCAAGACATTTCATTTGAACTTGTTACCCAAAGGAAATTGTGTTTGCAGTTAAAAAACACAGATCATGGGAGCCAAGACAGGAATAACTAGGCTATTTAGCGATAAGGATCACATTAGCCTTGTTGCCAAATTGGGCAAAGGGCGTAAAGTGTCTTCTTCCCCACCTCCTATCCCCTCACTCCTGTCGCTATTGCTCAGGCTTCCTATTTTTTTAACCAATTATTTTTCTTTTGACCTCATCTACACATCTGTTAAGCTTCCTAACTGTATCTTCATGGTTGATAATCAAAATTGCGAGGATAAAATGAAATGACTGCATAACTTATGTTTTTTGGCTGAACCAGAGGGACAAGCTGCTCTCACATATTATCACTTTATAAAGCTGTGAGGGTGTTTGCAAACCATTTTTCACATTCAGTCGATGAGCAACATTAGCATGTATTTAGAATCATGTTTCTATCCACCTGACACATTGTATTCAGTATCTTCGCTCTGATTGGCTGTCCACCAACTCCTTAGGACATGTTTGGCTTCATACCGGTTACAATATATGTTCACATTTCTTCCTTTACCTCTTTCTGTCTGCTGTAGCTGGAAATGAGTTTAATTCTGAGGCCATAAAACCAAAACAATTGTGTGAAAAAGAGTGAAAAGCTCCATAGAGCTGTAGGGTTGTTTGGTAAAGACACCTTTCAAATCACACACCTTTATGATTCATTGTGAATACGAATAGTTTGATTAGTGTAGCTTTATGAGTATAAAGTAATAACAGAAAGATAAACAGCACTAAAATAATAAGCCACCAGCTGACAGACGGTCATTTTCATTTCTAAACATAGATAAAGTGGGACATTAAGGCCGACGCCAAAAACAAAGCCAGATAAAGTGAAGTTTAATGTTTGATAAAGTCTGTTTTGCCTTCTTTTAAATTCATTTAATTCTTTTCCTTGCTTTTCATTCCTCTCTTCTATTAGTATTTACGGTATACATATCTAGTCCTTCTCTTTTTTAGTCCTTCCTATGACCTTCTTATTTTTATCTTAACTATTTTTAATCACTTTTTATTCCTTCCACCATCATATCCCTCTCTCTATTCCTCTCCTCAAGGGCTGCAGGTATAAACAAAATGAGCTCATATTGAGGCCAACCAAAGGCAAGCATCCTCTTGGCAGCCGCTATCACTTTGGCAGAGCATCACATACACACAGACAAAAAAAACTTGAAGCTACAAAATTGGGTGGGCTAACTGCATTAATGTGCTTGATGTGTGTGGGAGCGTGAGGTTTGACTGTTTAGGGGAGGAGACAGATAGTGAGTCGTCTGCAATGCAGGGAATTAAATGTCTGCCTCTGTAGCATGAAGACCTGAATAGGCAACACGTGCCTGGCGGGGAGAAAATCACGCCGTCTCATTTCTCAGTCTGGTGTTCCTGTGCGGCTTCGAGCAGTTTGCGATGCGTTCAAGTGTGCTGGGATTCAATCAATGCTACAGAGAAATTAAGCCTGGAATGACCTATTGGTAGGGTTGGGAACCGAAACTCGGTTCCAGATGAGAACCGATAAGAAAATGCCGGGTACCGGGTACCCATACAAAATACACAATTTCGGTTCTGCTTAACGGTTCCTAAACGCGGTAGACCCTGTATTCCACGGGGGTCCGTCTGCACGCGGCGCCGCGGTGAACCGGTGGAATAAGGGCGGACCTGGAGAATCACAGAACGGCCGGTCGTCAGCGGGCCGTTGACGGCCGGCTCGGTACGCTGACGGCCGGCACCGCCCCTTCATTTTTTTTAAACGGCATCATATAAATTGTGCTGACAAGGCGACAGAGGTCCACAGTTGCCCCGCAGCGATGCTCCCCCGCCCTCCCCGTAGACATTTCACGAGCTCAGTCACTTCATAACACCAAAGATAGGTCGCGGTAAACACTCTGAAGTGAGGCTCCACTACACTAAAAAAGAAAAAGAAAAGGCAAAGTGTAATGCCTGGTTAATAGCTTGCCACAGGCATAGCTCAGTTAAAATAAAGCACAGCTATTGTGCAATACATTTGTATTGCATGTATATTTTTTAGTAACAATTTCAGTTAAAGCTTTTAAAGAATAAATATATTTTTGTTATCTAACGTTTGACCTCTTTATTTTACAATTTTGGAATCGAAACGGGGAATCGATAAGAACCGGAATCGATAAGCAGAACCGGAATCGAAATCGGAATCGATAAATTTCAAACGATACCCATCCCTACCTATTGGTGCATTAAAACATTTCCATAGCAGGTTCATTTCCTGTTATGGCTTCATTAGCTGATGCTTCACAAGAATCCACATCCAAGAACACACAATTCCTTCACAACTGCAAAAACACAACGCCATTATTGTTATGTAAGAAAGTGTCACCTCTACGGTCTAACTGCAGCTGCAAACAGTTAAGATAAAAAGATTCAGTTAAAGTGAATGCAACTTAAGAGCTTGTATATCTGTGTGGCAAGGTATTTTAAGGACATCTAAATCTCAGTAAACCCACCAGCATCAACTATCACCCCTGTGTGTTTTTGTACACAATGAAATATACAAAAGTACATTTTAATCTTACGTATATAGCCCCAATATCAGGCCCATTTTTATTTTGTTCAGAAGACTAAAACACAACCAAACCTTCTGATCTTAAAAGGCTTGAACTTGACTCATCGAGTTGTTTAAAAATGATAACATGGCTGTCTTGAATTAAAATTTTTGTGTACAGCTCAAAAGCTGCACAAATAAATATATATATAAGTATATCAACAATGGCTCAAATGATAAGGGCCAATCAAACATAACTTATATAACCCTTGGTGTTATTGGATATAAAGTACAGTGCGAGAAGTAGAGTATATATTGGGTTAGATTAACCAGGCACTGCAAACGAATGCTAATGTGGCTGTTTGTAGGATGTAACAGGTAACCTTCTTTGCTAACTAATAGCCATATCTACCAAGATGATAATATGTGATTGTTGTGCTGCCTTTAGGTGGCTATAAAATCGATGAATATTGCTTTTAAAGTCGGGAAAGGTCAATCAAATCTCACTCTTCTTCACTTGGTGTGAGACTAAAATATGTGCAGGTTTCATCAGCGGACACTTACAGTAGTCCTAGATCATGTCAGTGTGAAACTTACTCGATGAAGTAGACTTCTCCTTTCTCGGTGTATGCCATCTCCCAGTTGTCCGGCAGCAGCCCTAGCTCGTCGTTCTCCTCTGGTTTGAGGAGGGTTATTTCCGGGGACTGACCGTCGTCTTTGGGCTCCTCTGCTGGAGCCTCTGCTGGGACACTCTGTGAGGCGATGTCCCCCGAGGCGTCTGTACTCTTGTCCTCATGTTCACTCGACTCTGAGGTGACAAGAAAGCACGATGAGTCATGCAAGACATTATCGCTTGGGGAGGAGAGAAGGGGGGGGGGAAGAGGAGATTGAAAGACAAGGGAGGTGAAGTGAGGACAAGAAGACGTAGGAGGGAAAAGATTGAGAGTCAGGTTGAGGGTGGAAAGAGGAAAAAAGGGAAAAAAGGATTAAAATAAGGTGAGGAGAAACTGTGACTCGGGGGAGTGAGGTGAAATCTGGAGGGGGAATGATTGAAGTTAACAAGACAGAAAGCGGAATAAAGCAGAGGAGACAGTAAAGATGGCTGCCATAGTTTGAGTTGTGGCACAATGTATTAGAGAGAGAGATATAGTGTTGGTGAAAGAAAGAGAAATGAGTGTGAGCTTCCCAAAGGAGAGTGGAGAGGGGACGAGTGAGAGCAGGAGATTGAGAGATAATCTATGGGAGGGACGGAGCCTGCTGGGCCCTATTGATTCAGCTCTCCTGGTCAGCACACACTCTGTCCATCTGCAGACAGAAAACTTCTGAGCCCAGCACAGCGGCACACTTTCACACCCAGCATGGCTCGCTGCACAACCCAGAGCCCCGAGTCATCTGGCACATCAGCACTGTCAATAGCCATCAGCTAAAAATGTTTCCTGCACTCTCTCTGAGCTCACAGGAGAACGCTCAGAGGCCCTGGACACTGGGATTTCTCTAAAACATATTAATTGAGAGCGCTAAATGAGACCCTAAATTGAAGAATATGTAGTCCTAAATTTAGTTTGAAGGGTAAACGTGAGCGCCAGGGCTCGGGAGAGTTTAAGAGGGCAAACACATTGTTTTCTTTGATATCCAGGCTGAATACTTTTCTGTTTGCTGCTGCCTTTTATTACAATTAAAATAATAATTCATATCTTACACTGCAACTTGTTTCTTGTATTTGTTTGTACCTGTCTTCTTATATTAAGCTTGTTTTAATAGTATTCTCTTGGCTTTTTAATAACTTGTCAAAATGTAAAATGTACCCTTATTGCTTTTATTGTTTTTTGAAAAGCACTTTCAATGGCTTGTCTTGTAATGGGCTATTTAAATATACTTGCTTTGCCTTTGATAAAGTGTATCTTGTATTAAATAACCTATGGAAATGTGATTATTTGAATAGGCTTCATGTCATTTTTTAGCTTATAGTTTTCAATGAAAAAGTAATCTTAGACGTTTGCTTTTTTACCTTTTTGTTCATTGATATTGTAATTTTTCATTTAGAGTAAATCATGTTTTTAATGCATATTTTTTCTCTTATTTGATCATATAAAGCACTCCATAAACATCTGTATACTGTTTATAAAGTTGTTGTTGTTCTTTAATATGAATCCAACCCTAGATTTTATGTGTTACATTTACTTTAACAGTATTTTCTAATATTTTGTTAGTTGTAAAATATATCTTTGTACTTCTTATTCTGTAAAACAATAACTAAACATTGCTATTTTGATGCTCTGTTTTTATAAAACATATTGTTTCTCTTGAACCTTGTTTTTCCTTTTACGGTTAGCACTTTCTGAACATTTGGAAAAGTTGGGATATTTAGTTATAAAGTTTCATAACTGGAATGATTGTATTGTAAAGGCTACAATAGGAACGTTTACAGTAAAGTAGAAATGTTTGCATGCATGTTTATCTCACAAAAGAAGATTCCTACCTTGTTTGAGCTCCCTCCGATATGAAAACCAAAATCTCTTCCTCTAATAAACCCCCTTGTGATGGCAGCACGAACACCGTGCTCTGAGGGACTCGCTGTCCTGAGGCTGAGCAGCAGGTCACAGTCACAGGACCTAAGCATGCTTTTAGATTTGAAATCACAAACATCTAACGCATAAAGCCTCTTTTATCACGGTCTATTCATGTGATCATAAGATGCATTCAAATAGTTAGTGTGTGTGTAAGCGTTTTTCACGAGTGTGCATAAAAGGATGTCTATACAAACAATACAAAGTTAGATTAGGATGTTTTAAGGAGTCAGTGCATCATTTACCATGTTGTTTTTTTATATTTGAAACAACATTTCTTATTTTTCCATTATTTATTATCTTTTGTGTGCTATGTAAAATGTCACTTGTGCCTTTTGTCCATTTACAGACAGGATAACAATGGTTGGTGACAGCTGATTAACAAGCCAGAGAAAACCCTTCATATTGAAGATTAAAACAAGTCCTTGTTGATTTTGAAAGAGCCATGGCTCCTGTTGAATTGGACAGCGATGTGTTTGAATGCCCTCTGGCTATCTGGCCTGGATAATGATACGTGATGAATGATTTCAAATGCTGCAAAGAGTCGGCACTAACGCTTTAATCAAGAGCTGAGCGGTCTGCAGAGGTAATCACCGACTGTGAGAGGTAATCATAATCCACAGTTTACATACCATGCAGTTCAATTGCACATAAAGATATTTGTGTAGCCAATTAAAAGTGATAATCTGCCATGAAATCATTTTCTAGAAAAACTATGTAAAAAAGCAATCTGTTACTCTATCTGTTGCTAGGCGACCACTCTTGAGGCTCAGTTTGAAACAAGACGATGAGCCGCTGCAGATCGGGCTGACCTGGAGCGCGACCTTTAACCCTGGCTGTCAATGTGAGGCTGCTGGCGCCTGAGGAGGGTCGTGTTCGGGGCTGACCTGGGGGTGACAGCTACACCGTTGCCGTTGACGACGGGTCTCTCTTCCTCCTCCTCCTCAGGGGGCTCGATGCTGCTTTCTCCATGTTGCTCACCGACTTGTTACGCTTCCTCTTGCCCTCGGAGGTGGGTCTGGCGCCCGGCAGCAGCTGGTCCGTTACATTTAGCAGCAGAGCGCTGGGCTCGGCCGGAGGCTTCGGGGTCCCGTAAAAGTTATCTGGAGCAGAGAGGGGGAGAGATATGAGACTTTTAGCTTCATAAGATTAATGCTTATATCTTTTATTCAATTAACCATGAGAAACTAGCCAAACAAGGCCTTTGCCTGCCTGAGGAGATCAGAGCTGCAAACTCTGTCTGCTCTTTAAAATCACTTTTTAAAACCCACTGTTTTAGACTCGCTATAATGTGTTTTTATTTATATAAATAAAGTCACATAAAACTACCTTTTAGTTGCTGGTGTTTAGTTCATTGCATTGTGTGTGGATTAAATATGTTCTGTTCCTATGTAAAAACACTTTAAAAAAAGTTTGTTATTATTATAATTATTAATCTATTTATTGAATTGCATTATATTATTTATTTATTTTTTAAGATTTTGATAGCTGCATGAGAAATGTCTGTCAGTTGGTGGGTTGGTCCATCACTTTAATACCAAAAATATAAAATGTTTCAACAACTATTTTATCGATTGCTGTGAAATTTGGTACATATATAAAACATATAAATACATATAAAACTTACAAAAACTCACCTCTTCAATCTGGCTTTTAATGTGTGATTGTTTTTGTATTGCTTGATTTTAATTTGACTTTAACTATATATATTTATTTGTTGTTCTTTTCTTTTCACTATATCTGTAAAGCGTCTTTGAGCACCTGTAAAAGCGCTAACAAAACAAATCTATTATTATTATTATATATCAATATACTTGATCTGCTGATTTTTCCTGAGCACTACAATGTGGAGAGTTTTTGCTTTCAGTTCTTTCAGTATTTAATCTTTAACTATTACATCGACTGCCAAGAATTTGTGAAAGATACCAGGAAAACAATTAATGGTATACAACTTTGAATTGTAGTCCTAATGAGCAATGTTTGCATGCTTAAAGGTAAAACCTAATTGGTAAACCTGGTAAATATGACCTGCTAATGAAGAGCATGTTAGCATTGTGGGCATGTTAGCACGCTAGCATTTCATTTTGAAATGTTTAGCTTTGAACCCATTTGGATTGATTTGGCACCAATTTATAAGAGATGTTATCTCATGGCACTTCTCATAAACATCAGTTATAAACCCTACCCTATAAATGACCAAACTTTTCCCATACTGGAGCAGTATGACAGCAACAATGAAAACTTAAACAGGGACACACTGTAAACAATCTTAGTATGGCCTCATAAAGCTGCTAGCATGACTGCAGACTCTTATCGTCTTGTTTCCTTTCCTCTGGAGTGTTACAAGACAATATGTCAGGACAATACTAAAAGGGGAACGAGTACATACAAGGACATGGCATTAAAGATACATTCAAAGCACATAATGTAAATGCAAAGAGACCGAGAGGGAGTGAAGAGGGAGAGCGAAAGCACAGCGAAGAGGCTCGTAGATTTAATAACCTGAGGATGAGAGATGTGGGAACAGTACGTCAGAGGAGCTTTATGACACCAGCTACAGGGAGGATGACTGTCCTCTGTCCTTGATGAGAACACACAAGATGGGACTCAAGATCACATCATGTCTTACAATTTATAACTGGAATAAAACCAGCACAAAACAGCGTGTGGTTTCAAACAAAGACTCCCTCGTCCTGAACTGGTTCCACCCATTTTCTTGGGGGGAATCCAAGAGCAGTTGCCAAGTTCTTCTCCTCTGCATATCAATCTCTTACCAGACCATGCATGGATTTCCCTGACGTATGACTGAATAATCGCTGTGCTTCTGAGTTCCAGTCTCTGGTCAGAGCCAGCTAACCACCTCTGGGAAGTGTAGTTCTTCACTTGGCTCTGACTCAACAGCCCTATCCAATCGGCTATGTTTATTTCACATTTGACTATTTCTTTGCTTTGTCCCTCCAACAGCCTCCATCACTCCCTGTTTCAAACAACATCACTTGACTTCAATTGTCATTGTATAGATGGAAAATGCTGCCAGGTTACATGTTGATAATAAAGTAAGAGTAACTGTGAGCTTTTTATCTGGAAAGACATTCAAATGTTTAGCTTTTTAGATTTCTTTTTTTTTTGCTTTCAATGAGAACAAAAACAACTCTTTTCACACATTATGTGTTGCCGTGGCGAGGACAATTCAGCAGCGGATGTTCCAAAACCGAAGCAAATTCAACGGACTCTATCTGGATGGGTGTAAAAAGGCACAATTTAGTTTTTTATTTAAGTATTAGCACTTAAACAAACATATTCTAACATATTAGCCATGTTTTTTTTCCATTTTCCTTTCAGCTTAATCTACATTGTTTATAAATACAAAGAAAATATGAAGGAAGATTCGGAAAAAAAACGATAACAAATGAATAAATTGATAAAGGGGGGTTGGGAGCAAATGGTGTGTTCATTTGTGGTGAGAAAGTACATATATCAGTCTCAGATAATGTATTATTTGTTCCATCCGATAGATTTCCTTTTAAAATTGGTTTATAGAAATTAAGAATGCGTTTATATTTACTCCTGTTCCTTTAAGAATGCGTGCCAACATTTACCAAACAGTGACATAAAGGCAAATGTTACTGTCAGGCCAGAATTTCTTTCTTTTTTTACATTCAGACAATTTGACATTTTGGAGGTTTTCACACAACAATACCAAGGTTCCTCGTGCTTAAGTGAGATGTCAAAGCCTGAGTTATCCCTTCTTCTTTCATAAGATCAGACACTTATAAATCTGAGAGCATGAAACAGAGTTGAGTCTTTTCAGAGGACTTCAGCTACAGTTCAGGTCTGCAGCATTTGCTATTAGATTAAAGTAGCCTCTCTTCAGATCTACTAATAAAATGTCCCTGGAAGAAATATAAAATGAGAAAACAATGTCTGTTCAAATTCCTGAAGATTATTCCAATGCACTCGGCTCAAGAATTAGAGACACATTCAATGTATTCAGACTGTTTGGGGGACAGGAAGAATAGGCAATGAGATTTACACAAGTAGGTCTGTTTCTGTGTTTGAAACATCATGTTCACATTCTGGTAATGTCAACATGATGGAGGAGAGTAGCTGAAACATTAGAAACCCAGAACCACAGACACAAATCCAGGGGCCCTAACACGCTGAAGATTTGCATCTGAGAATAAAAAAGAAGGACAAGTGGTCTATGTGTGAACTTAAATAACCCGCAGCATCCCAGAAACCTGGACTTTGAAGTTTCAGCAAGTCTCATCTGACAGCCTCCCTGATTTCAGTCAGACATAGTCTCAATCTCAATGAACAAATCCCCAAAATGATTCTTGGAAAAGACATCAAAGAAATGCCTGATAACTATTCAAATCACAACTTCCAAAGAGCTAAGATCATCATATTTGATGTTTTTATATTTTTCAATAGAGAGCGAAAAAGGAAAGTGTTATCTTGAGCGTCTAGTGTTACAGAAAACAAAATATGTTCTATCATCTAGCATAAGATCCATTGTTAGCGTATATAAATCACTTCCTTTAATAGCAAGGAGTTGAAATATTTGTGTCAGACAAACACCTGGAACAACGGCCCTTTAGACGAACCTGAAGCACCAACAAATTCAACTGAGGTGTACAATTTATAATTGATGTCGGTTTTCAATTTGAATATGACTGCATTTCTTTCCACTGAGTAACAGTGAGAAGTCAGGAGTGAAAAGTCTTTCTCAGGAAGTGAACCTGAGAGCTTCCTGTTCTTTGTTCCTTGTTATTCTCATCCCTTCTGAACTCCCTTCCAAAGCTAATTGACCATTACATTATTAACAAAAATGTAAAGGCTCAATGATGGCCGAGTGACCTCAGAATAAACTCTCTGGAAGGCACCTACCATCGAGGAAAGGATCTAACACTGTGTCCGGCGGCCGACCGTTAAATTGGCCGTTACATTTTTTTAGACTGGAGGTGAGAGAGAAGAAATGTAGCTGCTATGTGTTAATGGTGGTGGTCTCCTGAGAGTTGGAAGCAGCCAGGAAGACCAGAAGCTGCATAATTATTTTCTAGTTGAATTCCAAGCCTCAGGCCCGTTTGACCACAGGAGAGGGGAAAGATAGGGTCTGTTTGTTAGATTAGGCGACTGAAGAGCCACTGCAGCTCAGGCTCAAGGACTGAGTCAAGGGAGAGCCAATGAGAAGGTGCTGCATGTGTGTGTGTGTGTGTGTGTGTGTGTGTGTGTGTGTGTGTGTGTGTGTGTGTGTGTGTGTGTGTGTGTGTGTGTGTGTGTGCACTGAAAAAACTGAAACGTTGACTTCTATTAAATGTATTATATCAACATATTTAAGTAGGTAAGTTGAAAGCAATAATATTACGATTCAACTTAATATTATTAGGTATGTGAAAATGTTGACATAATCAAAGTCGAAGTCAACTTTATTGTCAATCTTTCAGTTTGTGTGTACAGACAGAGCAATCGAAATACCGTTTCCCACAATCACGAATACAATAACAAAGATATATAAAAATATGTATTAAAATATGCATATACCTATACATATATATATACATATTGTTACGTGCTCCCCTCTGTGTTGTCTTTTCTGTCGTTTCAGGTGCGCCTGGTCTGCCCCTGGCTCCGCCTCTGCCCAGGTGTTCCTAAATTCCACTCAGCCGGGTTATAAGGGGAGACTGGAGGAGTAGGATCAGTCGCCTATCCTTATGCCGGAAGACTCTGTCTGTGGATGATCTCTCTGCTGTTTTTGAGCTGTAGACCCCTTTGCTGCTGTGTTATGATGTGTATCCTGGAGGACCTGGTAGTCTAGTTTTCGTGGCTTTATTTTGTTTCCCGTAGCATTTTTGTTAGATTTCTGGTTAGGGGAGGGAAGCTCTGGGTCCTACGGCCCGTGGTGTGGCTGGCTCGGGCCCCCTCCTTCTTTTATTTATTTTGGCCAGTCCTCCAGACCTCGTTCGTTTGCCGGTTGGCCTGTGTGAGTAACGGCTCTACATTTAAATAAATGATCGCTGTTAAGTACTGGATGTTTTGTGTGTTTTCTTTTATGTTGCGGGGGCAGGCCGTAACACATATACACAATCAACAGACACATTTATACATATGCACACATTAAGACATAAATAAAAGCAAAACAAACAATATATACAAAATAACAGTGACTTCAACAACTTATAATAATCCATTTAATTAAAGTCAACGTTTCAGTGTGTGTTGGGAGTGCTTTTTTAAATTCAGAATTTAGAGAAGATTCCTCTCAGTGTCCAACATGACTGATGACACTCCACAGAGCCAAAAGATGGATAGATGGATGGAAGCACAATTGAGAGTGAGTGTTCAGTGTGTGGATGTGAAGTGATGAGCCCGCCTCAGCATTCATTCAAACAGCTGTCACTCAAAGTGAAAAAATATGCCCTGGGTGCCATACTGCTGAATACATTCCACCACAAAATGGGGAATAACTCAAAGAGCAATGGCCACAATCACAAGCGTGACTTGACTAAATCCTTACCTTCATATGTTCCGCTCTCTAGCAGGGCTCCGCTTTTCTCCAATTCCACAAACCGGTCAACAGTCACGAAATTATAATCCACCCCCGGGACCTCTCCTTCCTTGGGCTGCCTGGTTGTGCCTGCAGGAGATAAGGGAGAAGAGTTAGAGCCGCTGGAGCTTCCAACGCCTCATCACTGCTGGAAGAGAGGAGACTTAAAGTAGTCATTGTCGAGTGTTTTAGAGAAGATCGGAACGTACCAGAGCTGAAACACGCTGACCCTGCCCCAGCATTATTCATTAAGTGCCCTCTTTATTCCTTTATTTCCATTCCACAGAGTGGGGGGGGGGGGGGGGGGGGGGGGCAAGGTACCATCACAGGAGCTAAGTGATGCAATTTGGACACCAAGAGGAGAAATCAAGTCAATTTGCATGGCAGCAAGACAGGGAATCCCTGAGAGGAGTGGCCGTTCTGCCAGCCACACAGGACTGAAGGAAATACTTTACCCTGTAAAAGCAGCATTTTAAATAACTCACTATCATCTCTCCTTCAGTCACTAAAACAATGCGTGTCAGAGTATTTATGAGGTGAAACTGAGGTACAAACGACTTCCTAAATACTTCCTCATCACCGTGTGCTAATTAGACTTGTTAAAAGTGATCCCGGCTGTGATAACAGGCAGGCACTCTACCCCGAGGTGTGGAATGGGTTTTTCACATCTGAGCGAGGGTTGTTCACACTAAAAGAGGAGCCCGTAAAACGCACTTGTTAGGTGCTCACTGCAGCATATAAAGTATCCATCTGTGTGTTTTAAAGTTAGCAGGGGAGCCACTGCGCCACCTGGTTGGTGGTGTGTGGTGATTTGACTTTAAATGGCTAAGTGAAAAGGCTCCTGCATCACTACATAAGGCTGAAACAAAGCCCGGACAGTGCAGTCATTGGGACAGGAAGAACAAGGAGTTATTTCCAAATGTTACGTACTAAATAACTATTAAACTACCTTCAAGTACACAAAGAAAAGTCATCATAAAGTAGCTGTTCTTGAAACTAACCTATGGTAAAAAATGGGTTTTATTAAAAGGTCAGGTATGCGGGAAAGTAACTGTACGACTTCAAATTGACACATTGTGGAGTGGAAAGCACCTGGATGGCAACTTCAGGTTGTTTGTTTCGGAAAGTTACAAAGAATTGTCAGAAAATAGCTACTGTCATTTTGAAGTATGCCGATAGTGGTTCTGAATCTGTACCACTTTTGACAAGTGCTCCTGAAGAGTTGTGCATGACAATTTTAAGAGTGCACTGTGGTCTTTTTTCAATTAACTACTTTAGACAGCAACAATGTTCATGCACAACCTTCACAAAGAAGGATTTAGGAATCATTGTTCACTAGCTTTCGGTCACTGCTGTGCAAATCTTTGAACAATGCTGTCACAGCCACAACAATCCCAGCATCAACCAGCAGAAGAGAAGGTTTGCCTTATTATACATTAAGGTGGAGATATGTCTAGATGAAAACAATTGTCACTTCTGAGCTGAAGCAGCCTTTAAAAAGAAGAGGCAAACATCTTAATTTAAGATTCTAGTCCAGAGATATGGTTCTGAAGAAATTGGGATGAATCCAAACAAGGTCATTAAGCTGCTTGCCAAGTCGTTCCAAAGTTGTCTTCGTAATATGCTGATAAATTGGTCGTTAAATGCAGAAAATAGAACAAAAAAAGTTTTTTAATTGGCTCATCTGTTATTAAATGCCACAGTTGAAGGATGGTTTATCTTTTCCATTTGTCTGAAAGTAGACTTTCTTTATCAAGCAATCAAGTTGTCCAACATGCCTGTCATTTGGAATTAAGCAGCACCCTGTATGCACTTATTTAAACCTCCAGGCCCAAAGTAACAGTTGACAACCTTCAAAGCTAAAACATCAAACTGGAACCTGCTGGCTGCGTGATTTGTAAGAGATTAGAAAAGCACATGAGCAGCAGGGTAAAATGTGTAAAATGTATGTATGTGTATGTGTGTGTGTGTGTGTGTGTGTGTGTGTGTGTGTGTGTGTGTGTGTGTGTGTGTGTGTGTGTGGCACCTCCAGCGGAGAGTTTCTTGATTGTGTTTGTCTGCATGAGGGCCTGTGTACCCGTCAGATTAGCCTCCCTCACAGGCAAAGCTACACACACACACACACACACACACACACACACACACCACACACACACCACACACACACACACACACACACACACACACACACACACACACACACACACACACACACACACACACACACACACACACACACACACACACACACACACACACACACACACACACACACACACACACACACACACACACACACACACACACACACACACACACACACACACACACACACACACACATTTCAAAGAGGACCTTTGATGTTGCAGAACTATATTTAGCAGCATCTTCTGCCGGGGACTTCTCTCGGGTGACAATTTCTAACAGGAGGAAACCACAATACCTCTCAATTTTTGGTCCTTTGTATATAGGTCATGATCCTGTGGTGCAATTCAGCGATTCTCAACCTCAGTAAAGTGCAGCAGTAATCATCTTGGATACTTTTAGGAAGGTGTATCATTATTTACAATGCCTTGATTATGGCAAATTGAGAATCTCATTAAGGATAAATACTGCGTCCATCTTTTTGACAGCCTAAAGGAGTTAGCATTCTCCTCAGGTGTGCTTCTGGATTTGAGCCATTTCAGAGTGTGGGTAGCACTAAGCATAATACGTTTTATAGCACAAGCACCTTCCCATCTTTCATTTCATCGTTTATTTGAAAAGGGACAATGCACATTGATGAACACACAAACAAATAACGCTTCAAGTGTAAATATGCCGGATTTTAGCTTTGAGCTCATTCCCATCCGTAGTCCCTCACATACAACATTTAAGAACATGACATTTATAAACATAGCAAAAAATAAATACATGATATGCAGAAAGAGCATGAGCAGCATATACAAGTATTTATGACATGGTAATACAATATAGCAGCTACGACATATAAAGTGCAAGAGAAGATAAAAGAGCTACCTAAAGTGCGAGAGGAGATACCCCTGTGTTAAAGTGCATTTAGCGGTGATAGCACGGATGTTTGTTTCTCAACCATTCTCTGAGTTGACCTTTGAAGCTATTGAGAGTGGGACAATCCCGTATCTCAGTTGGGAGGCTATTCCACAAAGAGCTGCCTTTAATGGAAAGTACATTTTGTCCAAAAGTGGTCCGTCTGCGGTGGACTTCTAGGTCTCTACTGGTTTCTGACCTAGTGCAGCATCCAGTGTGTTTTTTGTGGATGAATTCCCCTGTAAACATTTATAAATAAAGCACATACTTTTAAAAGACTTAAAATGGTCAAAACTCAAGAAATTGTGTTTATCTAGGATGGCACAGTGGTGGTATGAATAACGCTTTCTGTCAAACACCTTGATAGCTCTCTTGTACAGCTGTTCTATGGGTTTCAGGTTTGTGGCACAAGCAAACGACCAGTTTGTCAGACAGTATTCAATGTGTGATAGAATCATACAGTGGAGGTATGACTTTGCAGCATTGACAGTTAAGAAGGGTCTAATTTGTTTAACATTTTGCAAGTTGAATTTAATGGTATTGGATACTTTCTTAATATGTTTCTTAAAAGTCAAGTTCGAGTCCAGTATGACTCCAAGATACTTGAACTGGGAGACTAGTTCTATTTCTGCTCCGTTTAAAAACACATTGGATCCTTCGATTTTGACTGGTCGTTTACTGAATCTGTCAGCTTCATGTTAGTTTGGAGACAGAGAACTAAAGAAAAGAGAGAAAGATCAGTATTAAGCTAGATTTACAATTTTGCGTGAGAAATATATGGTATGGCAATGAAGCCTATTCACGCTGGAAAAGTAACTACATTCAAGCTATGGTTGGTTCACAGTTCCAAGCTTGTTGTTTATCTTTTTCAGGGGATAGTAAAGATGTCAGAAGATGAATGATAAATTAATAAATTCTAGATGTGTCGAGACCCTAAATAATTTTTTTTCAACCCATTTCTGCAAACGATGCTCTTAATGTCATGAAAACATTCAGTTCCTTAGTGTAGTCCAGCTGTTACTGATGTCATTACATTAGTTTGTTTTTTAGTGAGCAAACCTTTCCATTGTCGCTAACAGGGTTCTTACACCTTTTCCAAAGTCAAATTCAAGCACTTTTCAAGCATTTTCAAGGTGCATTTTCCAGCTTTTCTAGCATCTTACAGCTGTTGTAAATTACATATTTATATACACATACTCAAATCATTATTTCCCTACCTCATATTAAATCAGATGTTCTTTATGCTATAAACAACCAAATGTGTGTTTCGTGATAGCCTTCTACACGAGGATGAAAAATTCAAGAAAAGAAAACTAAGTTTAATATTTCAAAATTAGTGATCTGTACGTAGACTGGGCATCCCATATAAACTGGCTGAGCCAATATAAAACAATCAGCCAAATAACTTTTCAATACATTATTGATTAATTGTTGAGGTACTTTTAGGTTGGCAGTGAACATAAGTCAGAGGTACATGGTGTACTTTTCCAACCTTGATAACACCACGTCAAATTTCAAGCACCCGTACGAACCCTGTATGTAGCACATAAAAGAATGCAAGACAGTACCTCTGGGGTGCACTGCAATACAAATTGTGACACAAATTGCTATCAACAGATGAAATCCGACGCTACAAATCAATTAATACGCTAGAGGCATCTTCTGCCATGAAAAGACAGACAGAGAGCAATGATAACGGCCATTCAGGTTGAGATAGTAAGAGTAAGGCAGAAACAGGGATGCATGAAGGGCGGCTGCACGTGTAATGGATGAGAGAGCAGCTTAAGTTGTAGTGTGGGCTGACTCTCTTGCATCCTTTAGCCACCCTGCTGTTCTCCAGTACGTCCTCGAAGCCCGATTGAACTCCACAACCACAGGCTAAAGGTCCCACTCTCTCTTGTACGGCTGAGTACCATTACCCAGCGCCAAGGTCACAGCTAACACCTGTAGTGGTTTCATACCGGGAGTAGTGCTTCTACAGAATACTTTAAAATCACTATGTTACTACTGTAAAACACACTGTACTCAGGGGCGGCGCCAGG